ATATAAGAATTGTATTTATTATTACTATTTATTTATTTATTTAAATATTTATTTACAACATCCACCAGCAGCTTGTTTATTATCTTGACCATCTTGTTTAGATTGCGGGGCACCTAATTTAATACCAAAACTTTCATTATTTATATCGAAATCACCTTTTTGAATTTTTTCATAAATTTTACCAGCAGTATTTACAAAAGCTTCTTCGACATTTGAAGCTGTTTTTGCTGAGGTTTCCAAAAAGATAAGTCCATTTTCTTCTGCAAATTGTTTACCCTCTTCATATGAAACTGCTCTCTTTGATTCCATATCCGATTTATTACCAATTAAAATAATTGTCATATTACTATTTGCATAAGATCTTGCATCCTCTATAAAAATAATTTAAATAAAATTATAAATATTTTGTAATGATAATAAAAAAAAAAAAAACATCCACAATACTTACTTAGCCAACAAGTTAAATGATTAAATGTATCACGTCTAGTTATATCATAAACAAGTAATGCACCTGCTGAACCTCTATAATATGATCTATAAAAATATTAAATAATTAATTAGAATAAAATATAGTTTTTTTTTTTTTTGAATAAAAACAATCCTACCTTGTAATTGATCTGAATGACTCTTGACCAGCCTTTTATTATTATTTTATTATTTATTAAAATTAAAAAAGGTTAGATATTTTATTTAAATATTAAAAAAAAAAAAAATATTTTAATTACTCACTGTATCCCAAATTTGTAATTTAATTTGTTTATTATCAATTGTAATCATTCTAGCACCAAACTCTACACCTATAGTTAAATCGTGAACTGGTTGAAATCTTTTATCTGTAAACTGTAATAATAAACATGATTTACCAACACCTAAAATAATAATAAAAGTTAATATATTTCGAAAACAAGCACTTTTTTCTCTAATATGATTAGGGTCTATATTATTTATTATTTATTGTGTTTATTACTATAGTATTGTTTAATTACCACCACATATTTCATTGAAATACCTTAAGCTGCATGTATGACGGTAAAAGTGGTGGTAATAACAATAATAATAATAAATTATGAAAAAAACATACCAGTATCACCAATAATAATATATTTAAATAAAAAAGCATACATTTTTTCCTATAATAATATATATAATATAAATATAAATTTATAAATTTTTGTATTGAAAAAAAACAAATAAAAAAATAAAAATAAAACTTTTTAAACTTTAAATTTAAATGACAATTGAAAATTAATAAAATACAATTAATAAATAAGAAAAATAATAAATAAATATAAAGAAAAAAAAATTTTAAATAATAACAAAAAAAAAAAATAAAATTAAAAAAATAAAAAAAATAAAAAAAAAAAAATAAAAATTAAAAAAAAAAATAAAAAAATAAAAAAAAAAAAAGAAAAAAAAGAAAAATATTAACTCTTTTTTTCAATAAATGGATTATAAAATTTTTTTTTTACTTCTCTCTCCATGTTGATCAATTAATTTTTTTCATTGAATAAACATTAATATATTTTTTTTTTATAAAAAGAGAAACATTAAATATCATATTTTATCGATAAAATTTTTATTTATTTTTTATTTTTTTTTATTTAAATAAATTACTATTGTTATTGTTATTATATTATTATTTGATATTTTAAATAATTATATATTGTTATATATTTTTCCTATTCTTTTACATATTTATATACTTTTTTTTTTTTGGTTTTTTTTTTTTTGGGGGGTTTTTTTTAAGTTTTTTTAAGTTTTTTTTTTTTTTGAAATATAAACTATTATTATTTATCATTTAAAATTTATATTAATGTATCCATTTTTTTTTTTTTTTTAATGATTGTTATTATTATTATTTATTATTATTATTTTTTAAAAAAAGTGGGGAAAAAACTAAAATTACATGAGTGTACATTTACTTGAACAACATTTTGGAGTTGAAGATTTTTGTTGATGTTGAGTTGATAATTCAATTTTATCAATTGGTTGAACACCACTTTGAACACCACTGTTACTATTATTATTATTATTATTTGCTTTTAAATGTTTATGACTACCAGTTGGAGCTTCCTCTAATTGGTTATCATTATTATGAAGTTGTTGTTGTTTATGACGTGGTGAACTGCTTTTTTGATTCCATGAACCACCACCAGACTCTTTATTATTACTTTCGGAAGAGTTGGCAATTTGTGAAATACTAGCAGAATCTCTACGTAAAAGTGGTGGGTTGTTTGGTGAGGTATCATTTTCAGCGCCAATTGGTTTTGAATTTTGGCTAGATTTACCAGATGCCTCTACGTCGATGGTAGATGGCGAGGCTAAAACTTTACTATTATTTAAACCTGATTGGGCCAAGCCACGTTGTTGAGCAGCGGCACCAGAGGCGACTGGGCCTGAAGATGAAGAGCCAACACCTGATCCAGATGGTTGTTGTTGTGGTAATTCCCAATCGAATAGTGCACCTTCACTAAGACCGAGAGATGAATAGCAATCATTGAGTAATGATTGTAAAAATAAATAATTTGGTCTATCTTCATAGTTTAATGACTTTAAATGTTTCATGAATTGTGCAAACTGTGGTGGTAAATCTTTAACCAACTCTGGTGTGTTGAATCTTTGTTTCATATCACCAATTTGATCCTTATCCTTTAACTTTCTCCATGGAAGTTGTCCTTCAGCAAACTCTATTAAAACATAAAAAATTGACCATAAATCATCACGTCTACCTAAATCTTTTGAAAGATGTGAATTTATTGATGCATAACGTGCTGTACCTCTAAATCCAGTTGATTCTCTGGCTGGTCTTACTTCTCCTGATGCTAAAACAAATCTTCTTGCTAAACCAAAATCAATTAAATATGTTATATTTCTTTTATTTGGATTTAATCCAATTGCAAAATTTGACTATATTATAATTATTATTATTATTATTATTATTAAAAGAAAAGAAAAGTTAATAAAAAATGATAAAGATATTTATATAAATAATAAATATTTACAGGTTTAACATCTCTGTGTAAATAACCAAGGTCATGTACTGCTTGTAATGATTGAATCATTTGAATACCTAGTTTTAAAGTTGTACCTAATGAAAATTTACCATCAATTTGTTTACGTCTAAGTTCTGAAAGATTTTCCCCTAATAACTCCATTACCATATAGTTATAGTCATTATGTCTACCACATGTGATGAATCTACATACATATGGACATAATTGTAATTTCTTTAAAACTGCAACTTCTAAACGCAAAACCTGTTTTTTAGTATCGACTTTTTCAACTTTGATTGCAATTTGTTCACCATTGATAATATTTTTACCTGAAAAAATTTCACCAAATGCACCTTGTCCAATTTTTTTCATCACCGTCCATCTTCCTTTAATTAAACTTCCTGTGGTAAATCCAACATTATTCTATTTAAAATATTGATTAAGTTAATATCTTTTTATTATTATTGTTATTATTTTTATAAAAGTGCATTACCATTTTTTAATTTCTTTTTAAATTTTATATTTTTTATAAAAAAATATGTAATTTTAAAAAAACAATTTGTTTTGAAAATAATATTAAATTACTACAAGTATTTGACAGTATTAACTGTGTTATAAATATTCTTTTTTTTTTTGTTTTCTTCTATCCTGTGTATTTAGTATTAATTTTTTTTTTTTTCTATAGGTAATTTTTGAAAAATAAAAATAATTTAAATTAATATGTTTGTGTTTTATTTTGATTTTTATTTCTTTATAAAAAAAAAAAAAAAAATTTTGAAAAAATAATTGATTATAAAAATTTATTATAAATTATGAAATTTTATTTTATGTATATATGATAATATATAATATATTATTTATTTTATTTTAAAAAATAAAATAAAAAATAATACAAATAAAAAAAAAAAAAAAAAAAAAAAAAAAAAAGAAAAAAAAAAAAAAAAAACAAAAACAAAAACAAACAAGTTTTATATGGTGGTTATTTTTTTTTAAAACATAATATCATTTAATACTATAATGAAACAAAGTTGTTATTTTTTATTTTTTGTGTTACTTTAGTTTTGTGTGTGTCTGTGTGGTGTTGATATTTTTTTATTTTTTATTATTTTTTTTTTTTTTTTTAATTGTTATGATTGATGAGTGGGCAGTGTGAGTGTGTTTATTGTGTGTGGAGAGAGGGTGAGTTTATATTGAATATTGTGTGTGTTTTGTTTTATTTAATAAAATATTTTTATATAAAAAACTAAAGAAAACTAATATTATAACTATAGATGAATAAATATAATTTAAATATAATGTATTATATAAACTGACTTTTACTATTTTTTTTATAATTTTTTTATTTAAAATACTCTCTTTTGACAGTATTACTAACAAAGATATAATAATAATATGGTTATTTTTAAACAAAATAAAAAAAAAAATCTATTTTTTTTTTTTTAATAATTATTGATTAAAATTACTATTATTATTATTTATTTAAAAAAAATATAATAAAAAAAAAAAAAAAAAAATTTTCAAAAAAATTTTAAAAAAAAAATAGAAAAAAAAAAAAATAGTTTTTTTTAAAATTTTAAAAATATTTTTTTTTCTTTAAAAATATTATTATACTTTAAACGCTTTTTTTTTTTTTTTTTTTTTTGATTTTTTTTATAAAAAAAATAAAAAAAACCTTAAACTATCAAAAGATTATTTTAAAAAAATATTATTTTAAAATAAACACATTACAATAAGCTCTGGCACAAGCAACTTATTATAAAATCACCGGGAAGATTCAACCATCCAAAAAGGTATCGATAGTTGCAGGGTTCGAACCTGCGCCCCCGAAGGGAATGCCTTAGCAGGGCACCGCATTAACCACTTTGCTAAACTACCTTGGATATTTTCTGAAAGTAAATAAGCTCTATTGGAAGATTTTAGTTAAAAAATACTATATAAAACCAATAACCAGCCATTTTATCGTATATATCTCCTTCATATGCATTATAAAAAGAAAAATGATAAGGTCTTTGTTCATCTATAATTTTTTCAAGTTCTTTAGTAGCATTCATTAAAGTGGATTCTTCAAAAATAGCACAGTCCCCTGAATAAATATGTAGACCCCATACTTAATTAAGATAGAAGTGATATTGAATTTATCGGTAATAATTAATATTTAAATAAGAACCCTTCATATTACAAGATATTGGTTTATTTGTTAAAAATTAAAATAATTTTTGTCACAATATTCATTCCTTTTTTTCAAATTTAAAAATTTGTATTTTTTTTTACATTTAGATTATTCATATAAAAATTATTATAGGTAAATCATATATATTCAGGGCAATGTAAATCATCAACTAAAAACTAGGTGTTATTTGTAGATTCATTTAGTTCATTCTATTTTATCACTCAAAATCAATATTTATACACAGTTTTTATTAAAAGATGGATCTAGGGCTTCATTTATCAACATTGGCATTGATGGCTGCAGTTATTTCAAAAACGATTTAATATGCAGTTTGTAAAATGGGGTTGCTGTTATAGATTTAAATAATATTGAAGATAGCCCAGGTGATTGTTTTTATATTTCAACTCATAATAACATAGGAATTCAATTCAATATTGCCGAACAATAAAACATTATTCTACACCAATTATAGATAACAATAATAATCAAACTTTTACTGCAATAGATAGCTATAATTATAAACACAAAACTAATAGTAAAAAGTCACTAAGTTTTAGAAAATTATAAAAGTAATTATTTCAAAAAGATGAAATTTATAGCCAACTAGACTCAAAACTAAAATTGAACCCTGCAACATCGCCAACAGGTCTTAAATAATATATTAATAAAATTACATAGCACTGCGATCAAAAAATTAAATAGCAATGTTATAATAATGATTTAAAGGAACAATTAATAGAGAATCAAATAAAATATATATTGCACACAAATTAATTTCCAATTGGAAGGATATCGTTAATTCAACATCAAAAAAATTTGAATTTATTACCCATTATATTATAATTATTTTTTTTTTATAGATTTTGTTTGTTTTTTATAATTTAATTATAAAAAAATAGCACCATAATATTAGATTTATCAATATGGTTTTGTGAAGGTTTTTGAAAAGGAAAAAAAATATTAAAATTAATAAAATCA